CACCCCAAGGTGATACACTCAGTCGAATAAAACCCTTGTCCAAAAGCTCTTGGATCTGTTTCTTTAACTCCTTCAACTCAATTAGTGCCATTCTATACGGAGGTTTAGAAATAGGTGCAGTACCAGGTAGAAGATCAATTGTAAATTCAATCTGTCTATTTGGTGGTAGTGCAAGTAGATCTTTAGGAAAAACATCTGGAAAATCTCACACAATGGGGATGTCCTTTAATACTTGCTTCTTAGATTCTTCTCCAGAAATGAAGGCCAAGCATCCCTGACATCCCTTCAGTAATAATTAGGTAGCACTCAAGGCTGAAATAATAGAAGGAAACTTTTCTTAAATCCCAATGAACTTGAAAGGTGATTGATCTAGAGGTGAGAAAGTAACAGTCTTCCGAAAACAATCGACACTTGTATGGTATGCTGAAAGCCAGTCCATACCCAAGATAGCGTCGAAATCTTAAAATTCTAGTAGAATAAGATCTACTAGCAAATCGTGACTTTAAATAGTAATAACACAGCTTCTATATATCTGATCAACTATCAAAGAGTTTCCAACTGGTGTTACTACCATTAATGCATTATTCATTGTCTCACGATTCTTATGCAATTTCATAGCAAAATAGGGTGATATAAAAGAATGTGTAGAACCAGAATCAATAAGCATCTTGATTGTGATGATACCTTTAATAATAGATCCCGAGGCTTCAGCATCTTGATGAGTCAGTGCGTAGACTCTTGCCTGTCCTTCCTCTTTGGGTCGTAGCTATTGTTGTCTAGTTGTTTGGGGTGGAGCTCGGCGTTGATGTTGCTTCCGTGGGCAATCCTTTGACATGTGCCCTGGTTGTTGACAATAAAAACATACGCGTTGTCCCGTGGGGCATGAGGTGGAAACATGATCTGTCTTCCCATAGAAATAACATCTTATAACAACTTGATTGCTAGGAGCTCCTGCTTGTTAATGCCCAAACTGTTTTTCTTTTCTTTTCTTTGAGGGTCCAGAATGTGATCCCCCATATGTAAATGGTATAGCACTAAAAGGTCGCTTTCGATCCTTTGCTTGTTATAATTCATTATCCAATTTCTCTACCACCAAAGATCGATTTAACACTTCAGCATATGTTGGTAAAATCAGTACTGCAATAGACTTTCTAATTGATGATCGAAGTCCCCTCTCAAAATGACAAGCTCTTTGACTTTCATTAAAAGCAATATGTGGAGAGAACTGAGCCAACTCAGTGAAATGATGATCATATTCCATTACAGTTCTATTTCCTTGGTGGATGCTAAGGAACTCTTGTTGTTTCTCAAAGCGAACTGCATCAGGAAAGAACTACTCATAAAATGCATCTTTAAACTGCTCCCAAGTTACTACATTACCTCCAGCCTCTAACATCCTCCTTTTTGAGGTCCACCAAGTGTCTGTCTTCCCTTCCAAAATGAAAGAAGCGAAAGGCACTTTTTGATCTTCCCTACATTCGATAGCTTCGAATGTCTTTTCCACTTGACGAATCCAACGTTCAGTAAAGATTGGGTCTGGCTAACCCTCAAAAATTGGTGGTCCCAATCTCTTAAAAGGATCTAAAGTATTATTCCTACCCTGTGGAATTTCATCTTGTTCCCCTCTTGATGCTCAAAGTATCCTCTAATAGCATTGAGGACTCCATGTACGTCATCTTGAGCATTGACGGGTGTTGGGGCATGAGGGGCATTCTGCGAAGTCGGAGAAGCTGGCCCATAATTAGTGACAGGTGTACGGGAGGACTGGGTTTGCTCTACGATGCGTGGAGCTTCCAAGTTATTATTTGTTTGAACACCTCTCCGAGTGCGTAGACCAATAGCATTGCGACCATGAGCACCCCGAGTGACAGGACCACTAATATCTGAAATTGGCTTCATTACTCCTATAATATGTTAAAGACAATCATCGGTTAAAGTCAATCAAGGGACCTAATACACCTACAGGCCCTAGACCATGCTCTGATACAATAAAAAGATGTCACATCCTGGATTTTTTTTTTATTTCTTTTAAATCTTTCCACACATTTAGGCCAAATAGATAAACATCACTTTATTCATCATTCATAAACATTTATTACAATTCATTTATTACAATCTATTTATTCATCGAATCATAAATAGAAAAGTAAACATAGTGATGTTAACTTCAATAATCATCCAAGTGGCTCTACTTAGCGGTAGAGGAAGGTTCACTCTCCACTGGAATCCGATTTAGTACTAGAGGGAGGTTGCTCTGAAAATCAAAAATAAAGAAAATTCAGCAACGCTGAGTAGGAACCCCAAAAGTCAACTTAAACATATACATATATATATATATATATATATATATATATATATATATATATATATATATATATATATATATATATATATAATATTTATATGCTACATTAAGACCATACAGCTAACAATGGTATCGAAGGGATATATATTTAATTGATTATCCTTTTAGCAATTCAACCGTCAAACCGGAGTTATTTATTTTTTTGGTTTCTTATCCTGTAGTTATTTATTTTATCAACTTTATCCTCCACCATCAACATTTGATTTCAAATTCTAATGTACATTACATTTTAGTTGGTAGTTGTAGGTTGCGACAACATGATGTGAGAAGTTGTCATTTCAAAACATAATAAAGCTATCAGCAAGGAATTTGGATGTGATTCTCTTTCATTTTGTACCAAATTATGTTAATGGTTTCTTTTACTTTTAGATTCTTTATTAGATGTGAAAAAGTAATGATAGTGAGAGATAAAGTACTCCAAAAACCAGTTTGGATCCAACAATTGATGTGCACGTTTGATGTGAAAACATGGAGGACATGGTTTGAGCAATTCTGGGCTGGTGGTTTACTCCAAACACCTGTATGGATCAAACCTTGCCACATTTGATGTGCAAACATGGAGGACATGGTTTGAGCAGCATAAGAACTGGCATTTGGTGATCCTGAAGAGAAACTTTAACCTTAAGATCATGTTTGTATGCTGTAGAAATAAGAATGGTGGCAACTATCAACTGCTTTATTCTAAGTGTTTAATCTATTTTTTTCCTTTTTTTGACAGGTGAACCATGTCCATTTATCTCATGCTATATCAACGTTTTCTTTTTACAGCATGGCACTTATGAGCATGCTGTTGCGCAATTTAGATAATACAAAGCTCGATGGCATATCACTATCTGCTTTTAGCAAAGTAGGCTTCTAGTTCTAGTTCAAATCATGTCTTGTTTTGTGTATAAATGCTATATTTCTTTTATATGTCCAGGCTAACTCTGCAAAATGTGAAACATCTGAGAGGACAAATGCGTTGAAATCTGAGTTGGCATCACTCTCAGAGACGAACAAAGAGTTGAAGGAGCAGGTCATGGAGTCGACTACAAAGTTAAAAGTGGCTGAGCAGGGTAAAGATCAGGCTCAAAAGAGTTCCCTAACTTTAAGAGAGCAGCAAAAAGCTGGGCCTTTTGGTACTGTGAAGTCCTTGAGAACAAATCCAACTGTCATTCCTGATGAATCAGGTTGGCAAAGATACTGGAAAGGGTAGCTGTTAGGAAGGAGCTAATAGTTGCACTAGCAAATTCCAATGTGAAGGATGCGCTGGAGTTGTGATCCCCAACTATTTAGTTGTAGCATTGGATGGTGATATAGAAAAATTTTGCAACTCAAATGAAGTTCCTATTTACCGCCGCTGAATTCCTGATGAAGATAACGATAGCGTCGGAAGGACTGGTGGAAATCATGCTGTCTCTGGATTGAAATTCCGGATCCTGAGAGAAATTTTACAGCTTGGATACAGCATTCTTCTTTTGGATGTTGATATAATCTACTTGCAGAACCCGTTTGATCATCTCTATAGGGATTCTGATATTGGATCCACGAGTGATGGTCACAGCAATATGACAGCTTATGGCGTGATGATGTCTTTGATGAACCTTCGATGGGTTGGGCAAGATATGCCCATACGATGTGGATATGGGTATATAACTCCGGATTTTTCTACATAAGACCCGCAGTCGCTTCTATAGAGCTTTTGGATCGTGTGGCAGATCGGATGGCACGGGAACCAAATTCATGGGACCAAGCAGGCTTCAACGAAGAGCTCTTGTACCCTTCACATCCAGGATACAGTGGCCTTCATGCTTCCAGGAGGACCATGGACTTTTATCTGTTCATGAACAGCAAAGTTCTTTTCAAGACTGAGAAAAGATGCTCAATTGCGCCGGTTAAAGCCTGTGATTGTTCATGTAAATTACCATCCAGAGAAGTTCTCTAGGATGAAAGCTGTTGTTGACTTCTATGCGAATGGTAAGCAAGATGCACTTGACCCTTTTCCTGATGGTTCATGGTCATAGGCAATCTAGGGTTCGTGTGTTCTTTCTTTTGGGTAACTCCTTTGTCTGGTACAAGCAAACGATTCTCCTACTTTGTTCTCTTGTATAGAAGTCCTATGATATCATGGAATTAGCTGGCTGCTGTCACCTTTTGTATCAGACACACAAATTATTTCCCAGAGGGTTTTCAGTTTTATTTTTTGATTCCTTTTGGTTGATCCGATGTTGTAGATTTGTCCATTTATCTAAGAAAGTTATCCTGCAGTTTCATTTCTGATTCTAGTGAGTTGAACACCTACTTAATCCTCTTAGTGATTCCAATATTGACTAAAGTGGTCGTGTGGTGATTGCAATTGAAGAAATTGATCGAGGATGGAGTAATTTATATAACTGACATCAACAACATGGTGTTATTTCTTCATATATTATTACTATTATCTGCAACTCATGCTGTGTTTCTTTCTTCTGTTCTTTTATTTTTAGCACACAACTATGTATTAACATTTCTTTCAACTTTTTCCTGTGCATGGCGTGTTATATTTAAGTGAGGTGTGTTGTCATTTAAGTCAAGAATGGAAGCAGAGTGACGACAATCATATCATGATATAGCTCCTTATAGACGTATCAAAATGAATTGATCTGTTTCACATATCTATCCCTCCCAAATTTAATTATATATTCCATTAATTGCATAACCAAATGCATAGCAGAAATAAAGGGATGAGGAACAACAGTAGTAGGGAAAGATTGATTAATCTCTCCATGTAGCTTAAACACCACCACTGGATCTGACATAATTGCCAATGCAAACCCTATTACTAGCATTTGAGCGAGGCAGGCACGCATGCATCTAAAACGTGATCTACTTGTGGCGGTAGGCGGTGTAATCTGCCAGATGTAGCAAAGGCGCCGTCTTCGTCGGATCAAATCCCGCAAGCTGCTCCTTGGAATCGTTTAGCAGTCTCTCAGCAAACTCCCTTGACCTTTCCAACCCCAACAGCTTTGGATATGTCGTCTTCCCGCTGGCCACATCCTTCCCTGCCGTCTTCCCCAGCTCCTCCGACAATTTGGTCACGTCGAGGATGTCGTCAACCACCTGGAACAACAGCCCGATGCACCTCGCGTATTGTCTCAGCCGCTCGATCTGGTCATCGGAGGCGCCTCCCACAATGGCGCCGATGACCACCGACGCCTCCATCAGAGCAGCGGTCTTGCGCAGGTGGATAAACTTGAGCTGGTCGAGGCTGGCCGGGGCTCCCGGCCCGGTGGCCTCGATGTCGGCCACTTGGCCCGCGACCAGGCCCTTGACGCCTCCGCAGCTAGCGAGTTCGCCGACTGCACAGACGATCCGGTCAGTGGTCACCGATGCATCGGCGGGGTAGGAGGACGGGTCCGCCAGGAGGGCGAAGGCGAAGGAAACGAGGGCGTCGCCGGCAAGGACGGCGATGGGCTCGTCGAAGGCACGGTGGCAGGAGGGGCGGCCGCGCCGGAGGTCGTCGTTGTCCATGCAGGGGAGGTCGTCGTGGATGAGGGACATGGTGTGGATCATCTCGACGGCGACGGCGGCGGGCATCGCCCAGGCGTCCCGGCCGCCGACTAGCTCGCAGGCCGCGAGGCAGAGAACGGGGCGGATGCGTTTGCCGCCAGCGAGGAGGGAGTAGCGCATTGCCTCGTGGACGCGCTCCGGGTGCGCGAGCGGCACGGCCTCGTCGAGGGCGCGCTCGACGGCCGCCGCCTTCTGGAGCATGTAGCCCTTGAAGTCGAAGGCCGCCGCAGTGGCCGGTTCCGCCGCGAAAAGCGGTGAGGCGTCGGCCACCACCACCCGGGGCGGATCAGGGCGGCGGCGGTGGGCAGCGGCTGGCTTCCCGAGGGCCGGCGTCAGCAGAGGGGGCTCAAGGCGGAAGGCGGAAGGGGAGAGGGAGAGGGAGAGGGAGAGGAGGTGGGCCCTGGGTCCCACTCCGGTGCAGTATAAGCAACGTGTGAGCGAAGCCATTTCTTTAGGTTCCCCTGTGGGTGCTATAAACTCTGCAACGGAAGTCTCTCCCTCAGTATCTTCGCCTGTGTGAGAGTCGAGATGAAGTGGATCAAAACAAGGGAAGGCTCAGACAATGGCAAATGGCATACCTGCCCGTGCTATACATATATACAGGGGACGCGGATGAAGGTTGGAATGGGAGGCAAAGGGGAAGAAAGCTGGGAGCAACGATGGAATCGTGGTGGTCGTATGGGGTCGGATTGGTGTGGGCCGGATTCGGTCGGATTGGGGTCGGAATCTGGGCCGTTTGTGAGAATGCTTGCGGCTTCTTGCAACGCTTTTCATTCGGAAAGGTAGGCGTGGCAAAAGCGATGCCTAACTGCATCTTAGTGGCGGCAGCGAGCTGCACACGTTTATACAGTGGTAAAGCTGTCCGTCACCTGAAATCGAGTAACATTTTGCCATCTGTTCCTTCATTTTTTGATGAAGAAGGTTTTCCATTTTCCAGTAAACAGGAAAGACTACAACAATTGACGGCAACTAAGACGTGAAAAGTCGTGGAAACCTCTAATATCTCAGGCATATGTTCGTAAGGCCATGTCAAAAGGAGCTTCACGCGAACGTCCCGAACACCACCAGAAGTATGGTGAACTCCAAGCATTTTCGAGGATCCTTCAAGGCCTACAAGGACAACCCAATGATGATCAACATGCAAATTTGAAGTGGAGATGCACTAAAATCCAGATGCCAGCATATGGTGTTACATCAAAGTGAGCATCACATGGTTTTTTTAGCTCAGTTTCGGGTACGAATTAGAAAGAAACAGTGACCCTGCATTATTGTTGCCCTCACAGAATTACTGTTCACAATCTCTACCAAGATATTGATGCAGACCACATTCTATCACTCTGCTCTTTGATAAATTGAATCATCTGATTGATAAATAACCTTTTTAGTGTTATGTTGATTGTTACTAAGATGCTATTTCTCTAAATTCATCTGAGTGTTTAGGCTTCTAAGGTTTTCTTTTCTAAAGTGTACTGAGTAGTACCCAAGGGACAAATTTTGGATGCTAATTTCTATCTTACAGTACTTGGCAACAAATGCTCTGCCATGATTAATTTGCAAAAAGAATCAACATATTCCATGCGCAATGTTTTAAGCCTCTTCAGCAATCATGCATCACTCCTCTTCCAATTTTTTTAAAATATTGTTTGCATGAGTAAATAAGATTCTTCAATATAAAAGTTGAACTTGATGAGATCGGATTTTTTTCTTGTCGGTATCATCCAATCTACTTTAAGTTAGGTTCGGATGCCTATCGATCGAGTTCGAGATGGGGAAAGAATGTATCTCGACGGACATTTGGATTCGTCAGCAGATTTATATAAAATCGAATTCACAGGTATTCTACATGTTAGTATTTCTTTCAGTAACATATTAGCCTTGGTGCAAGTCAATTAGAAAGAAACGTTGCTCAAATGTTAATTAGAAGACAGCCGAATCTATAATAAGCTTCACTTTATCATGGAACGAGTGCATATTATGAATTCGAATCTACCTATCTGTTACGTCCAATGTTTAATTAATATTTATGAATATTTATTTCAATTTGACTTGTCTCATGCACTTTTGATGTGGACCTACGTTAAGGTCCATGAGTGAAGCATGAGAAGAAGAAAAGTGATGGTCATTTATCCTTGTTCACTTAGTCACAGGGAGTCAAAAGAAGAATGAGATAAACCATTCGATTTAGGTGGGGGGAAATGGTGGTCAAATAAGAAGGAGAAGAATGTGGTTAGCATACATTTGACTCAAGAATGAGGACTGGAAATGTGGGAAAAAGAAGTCAATTCTGCTAAGCCCCAGTCGACGGTCAGAAGAAGGAAGCAGCTGAAGTAAGGTTAGTCTAAAACAATGGTCAACAAGGAGGGAGAAAAATGCTTAACATGAGGATGAAATGCTGCGTAATGTCTTCAATTTAGGTAAGTCTGAAAACAAAGTCATCAAGAAGACAAAAGAAAAGCATTCATACACTCGAGCCAAGCATGAGGAAATAGTAGCTGCAGGATATCAATCATCATTAGGGCCTTCATTAATTGACAGTCTAAAACATGTCAATCATCTATTAACACCATAGTGAGTCAATATACAGAACATAATAGTACATCGTTTATCTGCAAGAACACAAGCCACAAATAAATGGCAGGCTATATTTTAGTAGCAACTAGGACGTCAAGGCTCACAAACATGTGACTATGAGTCAGCATAGATTCTTACCAGGATGATTTCATAAGTCCAATGTGCATTTTGGTTGATGTTTACCTCATGTTTGAAGCAAACTCAGCCATCCCAAATTTTTGAACGCAGGAGATGAACAAAGGCACAAGCAGAGAACTAAAGACAGGCCATCAGATAAATCCTTCATGATTGTTCTTGCAGGTACATGAAGAAACAAATTAGGAGGATAAATACATAAAATACTCCGCAATTTAAAATACGATTTGTTTTAAAAGACTTGATGCCTGAAACAACTAAGTAGTCTGATATTTCTTGAAAATTTTCTAATTTAAGATTTTGATATTCTTTATGACAGTGAAAATCTTATTTGGCAAGATTTACTGACTTGATCATACAGGTCTTTATTTAGAGCAATATTATAGTTTTACAAGAGAAGTCAAATGCACCATTATTATCAATAAAATCTATATAATTCGAAATTTTGTTAAAAGATGCAAAACTGAAGCAAGATGTATCAATCAAAATTTTTTAAATAATTTTTTTGAACTTTGAAGTTCTCCATAATAAAAGCAAATACATATCAATTATCTAAGATATTAGATGAAAATAAATCGATAAGATTAAACAATATAGATGAGAAGATCAAGTTACTTGTATATTTATGGAGTCATTGGAGAGCAAAATATTTAATTTAAACATTTAAATTAAGGATGATGCTAGAAAAAACAATAAAAAATTAATATGCCTTAGGAATCAAAGTCGCTTTTAGAGTTTTTACCCATGGTTGGGATAATGATATTGCCACCAACAAATCATAGAGATTCTTTAATAGTTGGCTGTTTGGATGTGTTGACCAAACTGTGTTGTTCAGTAATTGCTTTTGAGCATGGGGTTATGTGGTCGACATCAGTCCGCATCTTGAGGCTGTTGATCTTGATAGGAAAAAAGGATAATCTTCTATATTTCTCTCAAGAATTTTTTTTTATAATTTCAGAGACTCTATCTATTTCATGATCCAACATATGAGGTTTATATAGTCCCAAAGATATATTATATTAATTGTATTCAAGATGAATAATTCTCTTTCAAGAAACCTTTTCAAGAATCAATAACCAATTTAACTTTTCTTTCCATAGACTTTTAAACTATTTTTTCTTCTTGATGTAATGAACATTTCTTTTGATGAAATGAATCTTTTTATGACACTTAAACAAGTTTGATTCTAACATTCTTTCCACTTAAAACTTGTTTCATCTAACATGCTAAGTTTCTTTCAAGAAATCCATTATACCTCTTCTTCAAGAACTCCATTAAGAAATGCTAATTTGATATCCATTTGTAAAATTTTCTATTTCATTTGAGCTGCTAGAAAGATAAGTAATCTTACTGTCTTCAATCGAGCAATTGGTACAAATACTTCTTCATAGTCAATCTCATATTGTTGTTTGTATCCCTTTACAACCAATCTGGCTTTGTATTTCTCCACATCTCCTGTTGCATTTCTTTTTGTTTTGAAGATCCACTTAACACCGATAGTTTGGTGGTCTTCTGGAAGTATAGTAAGCTCCCATGTATTATTTTGGTTAATGGCATGAATCTCTTCATTCATAGCTTGTCGCCATTTTTCATCTCTATAAGCTTCTTCGAAGGTTAATGGATCATACCCTGCAAAAAGACAAAATAAAGAAAGTTCATCATTGTTAGTATCAATCCTTCGAGCTACATTATATAGCTCCTGAATCGGTCTTGTCCTTCTTATAATTGGACTTCTTGAATCATGTGACCTAGCTGATCTAGGTGATGATTCCGGCAAAGCCAATTCGGTGATTGCTTGTATTATATCATCTTCTTCTGAAGCTTTAGCTTTCTTATGATGCTCATCACTTTTCCAATTTCAAATCTATTGTTCATCAAACTCAACATCTCTTAACATCACAACTTTATTTGTGATAGGATTGTAGAGTTTGTAACCACTGGATAACCTAACAAAATGTATTTCTGACTTTTATCCTCCAATTTTGTTCTCCCTTCTTCTGGTATCTTGGCAAATGCAACACTTCCAAAAATCCTCAAATGATCAACTCTTGATTTTTGTAAGCTCTATGCTTCTTCTGGTATAACATTACCAATTCGCTTTGTCGGAAACCTATTAAGCAAATAAACTACACAAGCAATAGCATCTCCCTAAAATTCTTTAAGAATTTTTCTTTCCTTTAACATGCATCAGACCATATTAAGGATAGTCCTATTTTTCCTTTTTGAGACACTATTTTATTGAGGTGTATATGGCATAGTGAATTGATGTAGAATTCCATTATTTCTACACAGCCTTTCAAATTCATTTGATATATATTCACCACCCCTATTTGTTCTTTAATATTTAATCTTACAATAACTTTATTTTTCAACCAAATCCTTGAATTTTTTGAATTTGCTTAAAGCTTTTTTTTTTTCTTTTAACACGTAAATCCAAGTTTTGCCACTGTGATCATTAGTAAAGGTAAGAAAATACATGGTTCCTCCAAGTGATACTGGATTGATAGGGCCATAAACATCTGAGTGCACCAGATCAAGTTGATGTCATGCTCTTTTTGTTCATCTCACTTTGAAAGGCTTTCTTTCTTATTTACCCATGACATATACTTCATATAATTTTGTTAGGCGATCAATTTTTGGATTCCTCTCACCATATTATACTTCTCTAGAAGTTTCAAAGCCTCAACTTTTAAGTGAGCATATCTAAGATGTCAAAGTATAGAAATATCCTCAATATCATCTTTAAAATAATTTGATTGATAAAAAATACTTAAATACAGAGGAAACATTCTATTCTTTGTCATTTTCATATGTGATATTAATGTTTTATTCTTGTCACGAATTGAGAGAGTCATATCTTTCATCTCAATATTATAACCTTTTTCAAGTAATTGTCCCAAGCTTAAAATATTATTTTTCATATCAGGAACATAATAAATATCTGAAATGCATAATTCTATTCGTTC